ACAACAGCGCGATGAGGGCCAACGTCAACGCCGCCGCAGTGCCAGCGTTTAGCGCAAGAACAACTCTCAACAAAGTACGCCATCGTCCACTCAAGCTAACCATCTGCCCCCCTTCGCATCGACAAATGGTTCCCTTTAGTGGGAGATGGACTTTTTTTTTTTCACCTGTAATGAGCCGGTGAATCTAAGAAGTGCTCATGGCATATCTTGGTGATCTCTCTGAAAGACTGAATCGGGAAGCAGCCACATTGCATAGTTCGCCATATTTCAGCTTTTGAAAGTTTTGTTCTACTCGTAGGCTGAAGACGTGTTTTTGACAAGAATATGCGATGACTTCCTTCCCCTCACCTCTACGTACTCCCTGTTTCCCAATCTTCTAGCTTGACGCCTCTGAGATGGGTCGCATTGCAAGAACCATTGATTAAATCTATTCACGGTGCAAAATAGCAGACTGCAGAAGAGTATTCTTTCTGAAGAGTTTTGCCAGAATTAATCGGCTTGGACCGCAATAAATTTTGGTGGCCTATTTCCCTGGTAAATAATATGAATACAAATATTCGAAATCCGTTCTTCATTGTTCTCAACGAGGGGGCTGTATTTAGATCTCTGGACAGATTAGTTTGATTGGTTATACGTTAAGTATTGACATTACAGAAAAGCTCAAAGTTACTTCTATAAAGTTTACTTTGTTCCTCATACCATGTGTTTCAATACCTGAGCGAAATTCGTAGTATAGCTGTGTGCTCTGAAACTGTTTGCTTTTGTCGTAAACTGCTGGTTCACTGTGAATGCACGTTGAAGAGAGAGGCAGTTTCAGTATAAAGAAACACATAGTGCCGGAAAATTGCGTATGAGTGAGTGCGTACTTTTTTTGCAGAGGTTGCAGTTCTATGTAATTTGGGGATGCTTGATGTTAGTAAGACTGCAGTTCATTTCATTGAGCCATACTTCTATGTGCATCTGGCCCAGCATATACAAAGCTTGCAATCCTGTGAGTTTCATGGCCTGTCATTTATAATATGTGTGTAATGATTGATTTGGGGGTTTAACCGTCCCAAAACCACCATATGAAAAATGAGAGACGCCGTAGTGGAGGGCTCCGGAAATTTTGACCACCTGCGGGTTCTTTAACGTGCAACCCAAATCTGAGTACACGGGCCTACAACATTTCCGCCTCCATCGGAAATGCAGCCGCCGCAGCCGGGAATCGAACCTGCGACCTGCGGGTCAGCAGCCGAGGCCTTAGACCACTAGACCACGCGGCGGGGCAATATGGTGTATCGTGACGGTATGGGTTCGTAAAGTGATGGAGCCAATACTTAACGATTCAATGTAATAAAAAACGTTCAAACACCAACCAAGTGGTAGAGGTTACCACACGATGTGCTTTCTCCGTTTTTCATTAGCTGCCGGCATGCAATGAATAATCACCATGGAAACCGCTTAGCATGATTAGACGATTCGTTGCCGCGTCCGCAGGCAGCCATGCGGCCACGGCCTGCCAGCCCTGCGCAATGGGAGGCTGCGTCCGCCTACAGCTACTGCAGACTCGCAACAAATCAGGTTTAACATCATCGGACTAGAACAATAGTACCGCGCTCTAATTTAAAGAACTTTGGTGAAGAACGGAAAGTGGAATGCCATGAAGCTGGCTGCTGCTATTGACTTATTGTGAAGGTGCCATCTTTTTCACACCTTTAAGATATCTGGTTTACGGTACTGCTGCAATAATTCTGATAAAGGCTGATAAAGAGTGTTATACGCTCGCCGTCATAGCTACTGGCGGCGCTGTCTGACGCTCCCAAGTTCAACGCACATATTTGCACCATTAAGTGAACGGAGACATAGCCACCGTGTTAGCTCAGTTGGCAGAGGATCGGACGTGGTATTGGAAGGTCGCAGGTATGGTGCCTGTCCACGGCAAGTTATATAAACTACGAAGCATTTCTTAGCGAACTTCAGCGACTATCTATCTATCTATATCTATCTATCTATCTATCTATCTATCTATCTATCTATCTATCTATCTATCTATCTATCTATCTATCTATCTATCTATCTATCTATCTATCTATCTATCTATCTATCTATCTATCTATCTATCTATCTATCTATCTATCTATCTATCTATCTATCTATCTATCTATCTATCTATCTATCTATCTATCTATCTATCTATCTATCTATCTATCTAGCCGCCTAAGACTCTTAGCTCTCGTGGCCGTTTCGTTTGTGATATCAATACCAAATTTGGTATGGCATAACATGACTGTGTGACGATTCTAAGTGATAAGTCATAACATGAAAATCATTACATATTTGTCATGAATATCATGAGTTACCTTTCATCGTCTTGCTGCTGTTGCGCCTGTTTCGTACACATGACATTTTGCAAAAACTGGTATGGTATCATTTGACCGAACGGCGAACATAAGTGGCAGGGCCTACGAGGAGATCGTGACATATGAAAGGCACGTACAAAAGGCACCCCGGTCTTACCATATCCTCCCAGGTGCGCACTCGCTGCGTTTCTTTGAAGCATACGCGTTTCAGCATCTCCGGCGTCCCTAAGTCATGAAAAGAGGGAGTCGCAGTGTTGTCTGGGTACGCATCGGCGCGAAATGCAGCATGTCGCATTTCGCGCCAGTTGCTGTCGGGCAGCGCCGACGGACGGTGGTCGCACTTGGCGTCAGACTATAGAGTGCTCGCGCACACCCTAAATTTCATTCATACTTGTGAACTGGACCTGATGCGTGCACGTCTATCTATCTATCTATCTATCTATCTATCTATCTATCTATCTATCTATCTATCTATCTATCTATCTATCTACTATCTATCTATCTATCTATCTATCTATCTATCTATCTATCTATCTATCTATCTATCTATCTATCTATCTATCTATCTATCTATCTATCTATCTGTCTGTCTGTCTGTCTGTATCTATCTATCTATCTACTATCTATCTATCTACTATCTATCTATCTATCTATCTATCTATCTATCTATCTATCTATCTATCTATCTGTCTGCCTGTCTGTCGTCTGTCTGTCTTGTCTGTCTGTCTATCTATCATGTCTATCTATCTATCTATCTATCTATCTATCTATCTATCTATCTATCTATCTATCTATCTATCTAAACTAGCCGCCTACGACTTTTTAGCTCTCATTGCCGTTTCCATAATGGTATCGATACCAAACTTGGTATGGCATAACATTACTGCACGAAGAACGTATTTGACTAGTTCGTAACATGAAAATCGTGACATGGATGTCATCAATGTCATAGTTTACACATCATTGTTCTGAAGCTCTTGCGGTGGTTTCGTTCACATGGCATGTTGCAAAACTGGTATAGTATGGAATGATTCCATCGCGAACACGAGCGACAGATCCTAACATGAAAATTATGACATGCGTGTCATGTAAAAACATGACTACATGCCATGCTCATGATGAGCTCACGGCCGCTTCGCTAGCGTCACCTATACAAAATTTGGTGTTACAGTACGTGAACGAATGACGAAGGTATGGGACTGGTGGCAACTTGATAACCACGAGATGCGTTTCGTGTAACAGAATGACTACACGCAACGCTCATTATCGGCTGGCACACATTCCGCTAGCTTCACTCATACTAAATTTGGTATTACGGGATGTGAATTGGTGACGAAGGTATGATACTGGTGCAAACATAATAAACATGAGATGCATGTCATGTAACAACAGGAATACATGCTATGCTACTGATGCGCTCGCAGCCGTTTCGCTAGCTTCACATGTACCAAACTCGATATTACGCGACGCGAATGGACGCATAGGTAAATGACACATTCAAACATAATAGCACGACATGCGTGACATTCAAACATAATAGCACGACATGCGTGTCATGTAACAACATGACTAATGCCACATTTATCATACAATCATGGCCATTTCGCAAGTTTCACATATGCCAAATTTGGTATTACGTGACGCCAATGGCTGACAAAGGTATCTGACTGGTGCAAGCATGATATTCATGAGATGGGTGTCATGTGAGAACATGACTACATGCCACAGTCAAGGCGCCAATACATTTAGATGTTACGCGGTGTGCGTGCTCACCGGCGTTCGTTTCATCGGGTCATGCCGGCGTTTCCACGCCAGTCACCGGTCCTGCCATATACTCCCAGGCGCACGCCGCGCTACGTTACTATGACGCTTGCGGAATCTCAGCACGTCCAGCGTCCTTCCGTCACGAAAAGAGGGAGACGCAGTGTTGTCTGGGTAATGCATCGGCGCGAAATGCCGAAATGCAGCATGTCGCAATTGGCGCTGGTTGTCGCCGGGCCCCACCGACGGACGCTTGTCGTGCCTGGCGTCAGACTTTAGTGCACTCGTAATTTGCTAACGTAGCGTCGCTGTGCCCAGCGTGCGCGCGCGTCAACGCTACAATGGAGTATATTGGGTCCTTCATGATGCGCTCGTTGCCATTTTGCTAGCTTCACATATACCAAACTGCGTGTTACATGACGTCCATGGATGACGAAGTATATGACTTGGGCTAACATGATAATCCTGACACGCGTGTCATTTAAGAACATGACAACCCACCACGCTCGTAGCGTCCTCGCGGTCTTTTCGCTGGCTCCACATATACTAAATTTGGTCGATGACCAAGGTAAACGACACATTCAAACATGATAATCATGACACTGAAGTCATGTATGGCATCATTCACCTAAACCTCGTAACGTTGTGTTGATTTTAAAGTGACATATCAACATTTCTCATTCGTGCTTCGCATAATATTGATTCGCAGTGTACGTGGGATCTGTCAATTTTTTGCGTCCACTTTTATTTTTTCTTATTTACATTGATATGCTTCTAATAATACCTCATATGCCTTCCTTGGCATGGTTGTTGGATCTCGCGAATGTTGTGTCTAACAAAGAAAGTAGCCCCTAAATGTACTCTTAATTTTTCTACTTTATTATTGACACGCTGCAGGTAAACAACAGTCCCAGGAGAAGCAAAAGAAGCCGAAGACAGAGTTGGCTGCCATCAAGAGTGAGTCCAACGGCTGCCAAAAGCCTGTAGACATCAAGAACAAGAAACCTAAGCAGACTGTGGACGACCGCTTCGATAACTGGTACCGCTGCGCTTCGTGCGACAAGTTGTTTGCCAAGAAGCTCGAGCTGGAGTGGCACCTGCGCGAGCACACGGGCGTGCGCCCCATTCCGTGTGGTCTATGCCCCATGAAGTTTCTCAACGGACGACTGCGCACCGCCCACCACACCAGACACCACGGGCTGAACTCCAAGTGGAAACGCTGCGACTGCGAGTAAATGTACAGGGCTAATCTATTGTTTCCAGCGCACTATTTATGTATTCATTTGGCAGCGTGGTCTGAGACCTTTTCACCGCCTTGTACACAGAGACTTACCTTCCTGGGGGAATCTGAGCTTAAGGCTACCGAGTTGTGTATGTCTACGCAGACTTGCGTCCGTCCACGAGATTGACTTATTACCTTTTTTGTTAGCAGATTTGGTTTAGACTAAGGGCTGTTCTGTATGACAGAGTTCACGGTATAGGTACAAGAACATGTGACTAGCTTTTTCTCTCTCCCGTATAACACTTTCGTTTGGCTTGTGGGTGTTGTCCACAGACTGTTAGACAAGCATCAGAGCTTTGATGTCTTTAGTTCATATGGTTCTTAGTGTTCTTTGTAAACTGCTGTGCGCAAATACAGAGAAGCGACAACAGACAAGAGGAGACAAGAACAAACGCAATTTTTTAGGTACATTCAAGAAAGGGCCCGTTGTAGCAGAAATGTGGTTTAGTAAAACTTGTAGCTGGGCGAGTCGGTTCATAACTCTGGGTAAACTGGTTGCGCTTGTACCTGTCTCTTCTTTTCTGTCGTCGTTTGTCTGAATTCGCGCACACCAGTTTACCGTTAATGATTAAGCGACTCGCCCAGTAACAAGTTTTACTGAACCGCGATTATGAGTGTCTACGGCGCTAATTCTCGATTGACGGTGGCGGAAAGAATTTTATAGTATTGTATGTATTCGTATTCTATTTGTTCGTTATTGATTTGTAATAAAGACGCAAGCCTAGTAAATGTCACTTGTGTATGTCATTTCTGTGAACATACATGTAAACAAATTAACCACGCTTACAGAAAAAAGCTGAAATGAAAGAGATATTTCAGCAAACTATTTAGGTGCACTCTGTAGATTGAATAATTGATCTCTTAGAGTCCAATATTTGGAACAACGACCAACGAAGCAAGTACGTTGCTGTATGTGATTTCCAAATTTACGTGAGTAAGCAGCAGCTATTGCAAGACGTGCTGTCGGTGCTGGAAAGACATGAGACCTGTATCAAACCTGTTCAGCAAAATAGTGTAGAAATCACGAGGCGCTACATATGATGTCATTCTGCTTTGGGAGCAACTGTGGCCAGTGAACAAGATTTTAGGGGCGAAGCTGCTTAAAGCGGCACCCGTTCATCCCTCGTAGCCGTTGTTGTATGTAACAAGTGTAAAATTTTGGCCTCCAAGGTGGTGACGGTGAGAGATTTTTTCTGCGCTTTGTTGAACCATAAAAATAGTTCTCAGTGTACATCTCAATGGCTGCTAATGAGGAATGAGAGACAGGAGCATTCTGCTTTCAGTTAACGCGCACGCCGCAATCCCCATTAGCACCCATGGGCATGTACATTTAGCACTATCTGACAAGAAAGGGTTGCGACGTTATACTCGCTGGGTGTAACCTCCTTAGTTTTAGAAAGGTTTAGCGAGCGTTGAGCCGCAGTGCCATGAATACAATGAACTAGTATATACCATGAATGAACTCGAGGTGGTTAAAGGAGAGAAGTAGATACGAAGCGCAAGCCGTAAGAAAGTGAAAGCTGAATTCTCCTGTCTCTCATTTCCCATGAGCAGCCATTGGCATGTACATTGAGCACTATGTGACAGGAAAGTTTGCTACGTTATACTCGCTGTGCGTAAACCTCCTTGGTTTTAGCAACGTTCAGCGAGCGTTGGGCCGCATGTGCCATGAATACAGTGAACTAGTAGATACTGTGAACTCAATGTGTAAAGGTGAGAAGTAGACCCGAAGCGCAAGCCGTAAGAACATTTGCGTGGGCCACCTCTCGTTTAGTCCTTGGATTGTCCGCTGGATGGTGGTGCTTCTATATAAGAAATAAATATAATTTATGGTTCAATAAGTATTACGGCTTGGTGGCGCTAGCCGCCGCCCGATCTAAAGGGTACAGCCATATTTATCCATCCATCTATCCATCGAATATATGATGAAAAGATGCGAGATGGTGGTACTTGGAGTGTTGAATAAATGGACGAACGGACACACAGATAGATGCATGAATGGACGCATGAACGGAGCAGGGGCGGATGCATGGACAATCTGAGGGACGGACGCACGAACAGACGCACGCACGGACGGGCGGATGGACGCATGGATGGTCATACAGACGGACGCATGGATGGACGGAAGCAAGAACGAATTTACGGACAAATGCTTCGCCCCACTCTCCGTCATTCACTCCGTGGATATGCTGCCACTTTTTTTTTACTTGCTGTGCTGCACGCACGTTAGAAATATGCGTGTATGACCTGTATAGTCAGCCAATACGATGAGAACGTGTGTTGAGAACGTGACAGCAATGTGCAACAAGTACAAAACAATTACTAAGGTGTAGATGTCTGTTTGAGTCATGTGAAAAAACATTTGAATGTATGAATGAACTGGAGTGTCGGACTACAATCGCAAGCTAGGCGAAAAAAAAATGGGATGATAAATAACATCGTTGCTTGGAATTTGTTCCACTCCAGAAGTACCCAAAACTTCCATGACAATGTATGGAGCCCATATAATTTGAGTGCAATTTCTAAAGGATGAGACTGTAATACCAGACTGCGTGTTTTCCCGGACCTACCAATTGACTGTTTTGATTGAGGCGTATTTCTTAAAAAAACACCACCTTCACAATTTTGCTATTTATTAGGTGCATAAAATATCTTGTTGCGGTATACCACATTTTCAAAAAAGCAGTTAACGTTATAGTAACCGCGCTCGACCGCGGTGGTCTAGTGGCTAAGGTACTCGGCTGCTGACTCGTAGGTCGCGGGTTGGAATCCCGGCTGGGCGGCTGCATTTCCGATGGAGGCGGAAATGTTGTAGGCCCGTGTGCTCAGATTTGGGTGCACGTTAAAAAACCCCAGGTGGTCGAAATTTCCGGAGCCCTCCACTACGGCGTCTCTCATAATCATATGGTGGTTTTGGGACGTTAAACCCCACATATCATCAACGTTATAGTAACCGCAGCATTTTTTAACGCCTTCGCACGTTTCCTACTTTTTGCGAACGTTCTCTGCTGTAGATTTATTAAGCCTTGTCATTATTACTTGGCGCGTCGAAGGTAGTAGAAGTTACTATTATACTGTACGCGTGTCGTAATCGTTGCTGTCTCTATCAACTGCGGTAAAATCAGGTAAGGCTGGGAAACTGAGCATGTTCTAGAGTTCGACAAGTATTCGTGGCTGACAAGGACTGACATTATTCTCGATGATGTCAATATTTTTTTCCCGTTGTTTTAGCGGCAGGAACTTTAGAATACGCGGAAGGAAAGTTTATCTCACTTCACTTTCGCGAGCTCGCGGAACGTGTGGGTGGGCTTCACAACAAACGCAATCATTGTTGCTTTTTTGTGATGTGAACTAGACATGTTGGTCCGAATTCACGCCTCACTCCACATCGGGCCTACTCAGACAACCATTCCTCGCATGACGCTTACGCAGACATAATAAGGGCAAGTTTTAGATGCGGAGCATCTAATACTCGAGGCTTGTAGTGCGGCGCCGTCCGCGAGCTTCTCCTCCTTCTTCCACCATCTGTGCATCCTTCCTCCTCTACACACCGCACGCGCTTCACTCCTCCACCATCTGTGCACCCTTCTTCCTCTACACACCGCGTGCTCTTCTCCTCTTCACGAACATTCGCTAGCTGATAATGTAGCGCGCATGCGCCGTGACGCTTCGAGAACATCGGCAGCTGACGCGCGCGCATGCGCCGTCGCGCTTCGAGAACATCGGCAGCTGACGCGCGCGCATGCGCCGTTGCGCTTCTCCCCTTCTCGAACATTCGACAGCTGACAGTGCATGTGCCGTCGCGCTGTATATATACTCAAGGTCGGTGCTCGCTCGCTCAGTTGCCGCTCGTTGGTTGGTTTGTACGGCGCGTCGACGTCCGAGGTCGCAATGATCGACGTCCCTTCGACCAGCGCCGGCCAAAGTGTTGGCGGAACCGCAACCAAGTCGTCGTCCGAAGACAAGGCAGCGCGGAGAGAGAGCTCGCGACGCCGACCGAACGTAAACGTCGGCGTCGAGCGGAAGATGCTCAACTTAGAGAACGTGAAGCCTCTGAGAGACGTCAGCGTCGAGCAGCAGCACGGATTCGGCCGCTTTGAAACGTAAGCGTCGACAAGAGGACCCGGACTTTCGAAAACGGGAAGCCGAGTGCAAGCGTCGGCGACGAGAGGCCGATCCCGATGCTGCCCGCGAGCGCAAGCGCGCCGAGGTAGCGGCGTGGCGCACCAAGCAGTATGCCACGCCCAACGCTCGCTTCAAGCGCGACTTCCTCGACCGAAGCTTCGGCCACACCTGCAAGGTGTGTGATCGTCTTTGGTTCGATAACAACTTAACTCGGATCGGCAACATTCGGAACAACCACGTTAGCCAATTAGCCAGCGACCCAAGTAAGTCGCAATTTAACACCCATTTCACAACCACGTTAACCAATTAGCCATCGACCCAAGTAAGTCGCACTTTAACACCCCGTTAACCAATTATATGCTCCGCATCCTCCTCAGTGTTCCCCCGAGGGAAGCTGCGGGCAATTTTTTTTATATACAGCGTGTATACGTCTCACGGATCGCAAATCTGAAAGAATCTCGAGCACATTTTTATCACGCTAGAATCCTACATTTCCTTACATTTTGAAAAGTTTCCACGAGACGCACAAAAAAGGGGTGCCTTTCTGTACGCACTCGCGATGTAGAAAAAAATTAGCAGATCTCACGTGCAAGGGTATCAATGATATGTGAAGCACGAATGAGAAATGTTGGTATGTCAATTTAAAATCAGCAGAATGTTACGGGGAGGAGGTAAATGACGCCGTACTTCACTTCCGCGTCATATTGTCATGTTTGGGTGTGTCGTTTACATTCGTCATCTATTCACGTCACGTGATACCAAATTTAGTATATGGGGAGCTAGCGAAATGGTCACGAGCATGGTATCAGCGGGGTATGTTGTCATGTT